CATCCCACAGTTTTGTTACAAACTGTACAGCAACAAATCTGTGCCAAGAAAGTAATGTCAAATGCAGTTACTCTTCCCATTCACATGGTATCACTTCTAAAGTTTCATCTTGCTTTTGGTGTTTCCTTAACAAGTAGTTTCTCCCTTCCTCCATTTCCACGAAGGCATAGAAGTCTCACAGGAATAACAAATAGTTTCAGTTTAAAGAAGTAGATTAGGATGATTAATAAAGTGTGTATCTTAATTACTCTGGAAAACTATTACTCCAGCTCTTTGTTAAGTTCTTGAAATACATGAAAACCAGCAAATTCTAGGGTTTATTCAGTAAGTCAGCTCAAAAAACAAAACAAAACAAAAAAAAACCCCAAAAAACAACAACAACAACAAAAAAAAACCAAACCAAGATATCTGAGCAAACAAATAGTAGAGAAATACAGTTCTCTTTCACAATTTTCTTACACAATTTTCCTAACTACATATTTCAGTATTGGATAGCAAACTCCAGATTGTTGGAATTTGTTTTTATTCAAGTGATAAACTATTTATATTCAATAGCTCCAAGTGAAAACCACATGGATGGCAGTACAACAGAGACAGCTATTTTAAGATGTCAAGCACAGCTGTAATTCACTATGAAGTTTCCATATATTCTGCTATGAAAGTGATGATGAGTTGATGATTTTATCATAAAGCTGTCAAATACTGAAAACTATTCAATAAAAGCAATTTTATGGAGTTGCAAAAAGACAGTAGACTTCTCAGATTACGCCAGGTACAGCTCTCCTAACGATCAACTATAAAATATTGCTTTTTTTCAACAACAACAACAACAAAACCAACAAAACATAAAAACAAACAAAGCAAAAACAAGTAAACAAAAACTACCCTAGAAGACTTCATCTGTAAACTATTCATACCACTTTGGATTTGGTTTCAAAAAAATGGTCCAAACAAACGTGAAATGGAATAACTTTGGCCCCAGTAGGGTAATACTTCATCAAAATAGTCTTCATTGATATTCTTGCATTTAATTTTAATGCCACTATTTATGTATTTAAAGTAATAGAACTTAATTAACCTCTCAAGTGATATCTCAAGATTTCACTACATTTCACATAATCACTGTAAAAGCTATATGTAACTGGCTTATAATCTTTAAAGGGAGATTCTTTGGTCAGTAAGAGATTATTTCCTCATAGAATTCTATAAATATTCATTTTCATACCTCCTCTCTATCACTTACACACTTAGAAACCAAATTACAAAATTGAGATGTAAATTGCAAGCACAATAAAACCACAAAAAAGGTTATTCACCATTATCTTTGCATATGTGTGAACACAGCAGTAGGAAGGCCTGCTATTTAAAGTTTCTTACATTTCCAGAATGTAACAAGATCTAACATATCTTCTGTAATTACTTTCTTAATTCTAAGACTTGAAGGTGGGGTTTTTTTTGTTGTTTTTTGTTTGTTTGTTTGTTTGTTTAATCTCTTGGTATGTTCATATATTGACTCATTACTGGCTTTTTGTATTCTATACACAGGAACTGATGGAAAATAAAATGAATTTTCAAATGTAATTACTATATTCAAAGTTGTCTATAAACTCATTCAGGTTAAGAAACAACATTTTCCTCAGCAGTAAAACAAAGTGTTTTGGAGCAATGATGCATTACGTAGGGAAAGATGTTATTATATGGCATATGGTTCTGTTAGAAAAGAATGCTTTATCAAGGACACTAAAAGAGCAGAGATGCATCTCACATTCTCCCAGAACTTTTCCCAAGACTAAATGTAATTACTGTTAGGTATTCTCCAATGTGTATGCTGTATACTATGATTTACATAGAATAAACAGGAATTTTAATATAATACTACGTAAACATTACAAAGGCTTTACTTCCCACTGCCAAGTACTTTTTAAGTAGTATATCTCCTGAAATTTCATACATATGAAGAAGTATGAGTGAGGGGAAAAAACTTCAGAGGAAATCATTTACTTTTATGAGTTTCTTTAATTTGTTTTTATTTTCTAAAGAAAGACTAAACCTATGTGATGATAATTCTGTTTAAGAATAATTTCATGATGACTCACTCGTTTGCAATTCTTCAGGAAGATTCTCTATTTGCTTGATTTTGTGTAAAATGTATATTTAGTTTTTATAAATTCTTTTAAAAGGCAATAATGGTTTCCAAAACTAATTCAAAGTTAGACTTTACTGAGTTTTATAGATGTCTTTCCGCAAGCAGTCTGAATTAAGAGTTACTAATGTTAGCACAGAAGTCAGAATCCTCAGGATGTTAATTCCAGTTTATGAAACCCTGATCCATCCTGTAATGGGATTTATTCAGAATTTACATTTATTCAGTTACACTGGTTAGACAACTTGATTTGTTCAGTGTTATTGGTCAGAAATAGACAACAATCTCCTAGAAGAGATCCACAAAGATGATAAAGGGCCTAAAGCATCTCCCGTATAAGGAAAGCCAGAAGAAAAGAAGACTGAGAGGGGATCTGATTAATGTTTATAAATATCCAAAGGGAGGTGGATCTCTTCTCGGTAACACGTAGCAATAGGACAAGGAGCAATGGCCTAAAACTTGTACATAAGAAGTTCCATGCAAACATGCATAATTTCTTTCAAGTAGGCTACAGGCTGCTGAGAACTGCAAGAAGGACCATCTGCCCTAATGGGGAGAAGTGCACAATACAGCAGGCCTCAGAGGAGCTATGTGAGGGAGCATATGACTCCTGACTGGAGGATAAGGAGAGTCCTCCAGTATTCCGACAACACAGCATGGCACTGTGAAGGCATGGCATGGGAGAATTAAACCCGCAGTCACTGCAGCAGGAACAAGTGGATCCTGTGTATTTAGCAGGCCTAACTTCAACCAAATCTATTCATCCAACATACAGGAAAATCATCATACAACTGAAAATATAAAAATTATGTTCTTTAAATAAATTAATAATTTATGTGACTATTCTTATTCTGAGAAAAAAAAGCTTGTGCCACATTGTAAAGTTTGGTTTGTTGTTTTTCTTCCTGGAAATATCACAGTCTCTTTAAAATTCAAAAGCATCAAATAGCTATTGAGTATAATACCTACAGTCATACAAATATAAATTAAGTATGACAAAAATGTAATGAGTATAGTTTGTCACCTCAGAAGACTGGATCAAAATTATTCCTGGTCACACTTTACTTTCCTCCATTTCAGAAACTCAGATGTATTTCAAATTTGTTCATTTTTAAATTATTTCATTAAGAACAGGACAACAATAGAAGATGGTATACAAAAGCAAGACACATACCTGAAAAACCATAAAGGGAGATGACTTTTTTCTACTGTATCATAAATTGCAGATTTGCAGTAAAGGATATTTCCAGTTTAATCAGAGAAGATGAACTGCTACATCACAGCAAAAATGAATCCTGTGTACCTTAGGCTCAAAACCAACTAATAATTTGCAGAATTTTTATATATAAAATCTAAGAAACCATTACATAAAATAAATTCACCACACCACTAGCCAAAGTTGGAAGCTGTAATATAGTTTGGTTACCACATATTCCATTCCTTCATGATTTACAGTTTGATAGCTTGCTTTCCTTTTTTACTATATGAGAATGAAGCATTTAGTCTATCTTAGAAGGCAATTTCACTTAAAGCAAAGTGCAGTTTTCAAACAGAAAGAAATCTATTCATGCATACAATTCTCATGAGAGCTTATAGGAATTATGTTTGCATTTCATGTAAAGTCTACAGTTCTTATCTTCCGACAACTTGCCTCAGAATTAAAAATGAAAACATGTATTAAAATGCTGATGGGAGTTCTACATATAATGGCTCTGAAAAGTTAAGGTGTATATACAAACTGCATCTGAATTCAACTGAGTATGTGATTCTAAAATTAATTACATGTCAAAAAGGAACAGTTTCTTATGTAACATAAAAGCAATATCGAACAAAGCAGCCTAAAGTGCAATATGGTTTTGAAACATTATGGAAAGTTATAAACTAACTGGAAAAAAAAAGGAAAAAAAGGGGGGAAAAAATATTTGATTTAAAATGATGGGAATGGAAAAATTTAGCCTATATCTACAGCCTCAGTGTTACCAGATTCATGGAGCAATTTCCTGGTCTCCAGACCAGGAGTATATACTGAACAGGATATACTGAACAGTTTGCATCCACAGTGAGTTGGCTATGTCTTCTCTAGGCTCTACAGGGCACCCCTATGACCATAAGGTATTTTCTTGTATTTTAGTCCTAAGTAGCCAAACTAACAACCAAAGATATAGAACAATCTGCCACAGATGGCTGTTTTTACAGCATCATCTTGGAAGTGTGCATTTCATCAAATGCTGAAGGAATCAAGGAGATGCAAATATCCAAGGGTAAGAACAATACTTCCACAAACTTTTTTCTGAAACTTCATCTATTAATTTTTTTACTTTACATACAGCTAGTTGGTTAATTCTGAAAAGGAAAATCACAACTGAAGAACTAACAAACCCAGTGTGCATTATCAGGCTTCTGAGGAGTGATGAAAGAAGAGGCTGCTGCTGTACTACAGGTGCGGAACTGAAAGCTTCTCACAAATCCATAGCTATAGTCTATGAATTCTTTTTTGTTTGTTTGTTCGTTTGCTCGTTTGTTTTGTTTGATGTTGTCATTGTCCTCTTTTAAGAATAAAGGTATTTCTTTGCCTATGGTGATCACATTCTAAATTTTCTGCAATATTTTCTGCAACATGTTTCAACTATGAAGATAATCAATATTAAATTGTAGGTGAAAGTTTTAAAATCCGTAATCACTGAACTTCACACAAATTTGCCCTACTCACAGAAAATCTCTGTGAGAACTCTTTCTTAATGGAACCCTTCTTTTAAGATCAAATGCATAACATGTCTACAAAATGCTATGCATAAAAAGCGTTACAATATCTTTCATACAACCTGAAACAATATATGATAGCAGAATCATCACTTACTGCGGTCAGTGATTATTGTTCTGGCTTCTTGATTGCTCGTCTTGTTTTTTAGATTTTGTGCTGCAGTTATTAGTTCATCCAGCTGGGGACGTCTTTGCTCCAGATCTTGTAGTATTGCCTAGTTGCAAAGAAATATAAAAATAAACAAGGAAAAAAGCATGTAGAGCTGTTGAGAAGACCACATTTAGCAACTTTTTTCTATGCCAGGTTGACATATAGCAGAATCGTTTTTTGCTATTTAAATTAAATGAAGAATTTGGTCTAGGTGATTACTTTTTCTATGAGCATATACATACAAAGCATATATATATTTGTGTGTATGTAAAATCAGACTTATCTTGTAATAATCATTACAAATGAAAGCTATAAAACTAAGTATAAAATGGCAATCATTCTTAATTTTTAAGCCATCCAATTATGCGAGCACGACCATAAAACTTTTCCTCTGCAAACCCACAGAAAGAATAACATTCTCATAGACTTTACAATTTTTTTTTCTTTTCAAAAAGATAGAATTTACATTATTAGCATATTAAGCAGGATTTCTCTAAAAACTCATGAAATCTAATTAATACTGTTTCTTAATATTTTAAGATTACTCAATTACTATCTGTTGGTTTAAAGCCAGCAAAAGACTGTTAATGTTGATTTTTCTGTCTTTAAACCTTACCTAATAGAAAAGTAATTACAGGTCACAGTAATTTCTATTAGTCAAGATACACAGTGCCCAGGCAACCTGACTATAACAGGAGAAGTGGATCTAGAGCTACTCAAAGAGAAAAAGGTGAAATAATGAATCACAATCTTCAGGATGTAACAAATACTGAAATGCAGCACTTCAAGACACAGGAAAAAAAAAAAAACCTAATAAAAGTAAGGCACAAGGAATTTACACATATATAGTTTAACTTTTACTGAAAGAATAGGGAGCAGCAAACAAGGAATCAGTAAAATGGCTTCCCAGATAAGAATTACCCAAGCACGTATTTAAAAGACATTGACTAAATGTAGCAACTTCAAGTCCCTGTCACATAGCTTCCAGAAAGGATGTTCATTAGCCTTCTCAGAATTAGGAGTTGGAAGCAGCAAAGTTTATTATCAAATTATGACAAGATGATGTTTCTGCCTATAATCCTGGGTCACCAGAACACATACAAGAGTATGGCAGGTATGGTATATCAACTATGAAGCTCACAACAAAGCTAAGTGAAGGATTTTTATTTCTCAGAGCGATTACACAGTAACAGATGTTCATTGAAGATCTATTATATCTAGTTTCTAAACCCATACCCAAAAGTTTGGGTGGTATTTTTTCTTCTGTACTGATTGGATAACATACAGAAAGTTAATGCAGCAGCTTGCGTAATTAAGGATAGAAGAAATTTCTCATTAGAAGTCATTCCTTAGTGAAAGCATTCACGAAAAAGAAATAAAATCTACTGATGCAGTTACTACTTCTAGATATCTATGTGCCTTCAAAACTCCATTTTCAAAGAAGACAAGTTAATGAGTGACATGAATTTTACAATAGCAGCAGCAGTCCCATTGCAGCCTAACAACATCTGCATTATACACATTACCAAAATGGACTGTGCAGAAGGAGCATTAAAATAAGTACAACATTCTCAGATAATTACGTGGCCTACATAGTAATATTTCCCTTTTTCTCTCTTCCTACCTAGAAACTGTTTAGAAGAAGGCCAGCAAATTACATTATTCTATGGTCTTACATCTACAGTACTCCCAAATTGTTCCCTAAAGTCCCCCATTTTTCATATTTTGTATACTAAATATAATGATTTATCTGCTCCAGCCTGAGTCTCCAAGTAGGCATTACATACTGTGCTTGCAACACAGAAGAAAGTGTCTGCTGTTCTCTGATGAACACTCAATAAAAGATCACTACACTTGAATTCAGGGGAAAAACTGGAAAAACTGTGAAGGATTAGATGGGATACTGTAAAACAAAAACAGCAAAAAAAATTAAGCAGCAATACATATATGAAGATACTCATGAAACCTTCCAGAAATTCAAACAAATATTTAATGCTATAAAAGTAGATCCTCATCTCAAAGCTACTGGAAATTGTTAGAAGTTGTTACAACAGCTATGGGAGGAAAAGCCCATTAACAGTAGCGCCCTGGTGGATGCATTCCAGATGTAAAAGACCAGATGCCTCTGATAATAAATGTTAGCACGTTAAAAATGCCGTTCTGTGTAATTTAAAAATGGATTATACAAAAAGCTAAGCTATTATGAAAGATTTTTCAAAACGAGTTAAATTCAGATCTATCCAGTCCTCATCAGGACACCACAAGCTCTAGTACAAACACTTAGGGAGTCATCAACATGAGTATTTTTTCTTCTATAAACACCTCTGATCATGTACATATAATGTCCCTTTACTCTCATTTACCTGATATTCCAAAAAAACGCACAAAAATGAACACTGCTAAATATTATAGACCATATTTTAATCAATAATTTGATGTTAAATAATAAACGTAGATTAACAGATAAATGATGATAATGGATCATTTAGTTGTAAAAATGCATCATTAAACACCAAAGAGCTTTTCTTTTTCCTCCATATAACTATGAATGCCAGCATAACATGCTTGGAGACAGTGCAGTAATGGAACGATGAGAGTCAGTCATCAAACCTGTCTACAGTTTGTCAGAAAGTGATGCTATTCATTTTCAACAATCTTTCCACATTTTTGGACAGCAGCTGCTTGAAAGAAAAACCTAATTTTCAGGTTTCTAACTTTTATGATTTCTTTACACAAAATGGAGGTTAAGAAATAGATTAAATTGTTTAAATCAGCAACTGAAAAAATGCTAAACTGAAAAACTGAAAGAAGGGAAGTGTGACAAGTTCTAGGTAGAACTGCACAGTTTGAGATTGATAATTTAAATATTCTCTAGCTTTATAATACATAGATTGTAAAATAAAACAGGACAGTAAGTACAGTGGATATCTATTCACTCTTCTTTTTTTTCTGACTTAAGAAAGCTACTAGTGTGTAAGTAAAAAAAAAAAAAAAAATGTTTGGTCAAAAAAGAGATTTAGGCAGATCCTCTCAATTAAGTAAGCTAGAAGCACCATTTTCCAAATAAGACATAACCAAAGACTAAAACTTCTCAAGTATTTGGGATGCTTTGATTATAATCACTACCATCCATGCTTAATGAGATGAACTAGTAGACCACTAAGGTAATTGCAGTCTTGAACAATTAATACAGGAATGGAAGAAAGGTAAAATACATTTTTCTTAAAATCCTATTCACTCCCCGCAAACTAGTGATGCTATTTTTAGGAAAAGCAAAATTCCACAGAACAGTCATTGTGGAAATGGTTTGCTCATCTTTTGAAAAATCTTAGAATCTAAATCTTAAGCTTAAACAAAAATTGAAGCAATTACTTCCTGACCAAACTGTATAGCCGTGACAGCTTTCACCAAAAACAACATTTTCTAAATATAATGTGTTATATACACACCTAGAAAGAGAGAAAGCTTTGGAAAAAATGCTTGCTAACAATTTCAGAAATGTAGATGTGCTACACCTACAATTCATCTGCATAACAAAATTGGCTTTTGAAGTTATTCCACCCAAGCACAATTTGAATTTCCTTTCTTGTCACTAAGCAGTATAGGAATATGAGAGAAAGTGATGGATTATGTACTCTCTGCAATTAAAAACTTAATTATATATAAATTAATTAATAAAAATTAAAAATTATGAAATAATTGAAGTACTTACATGTTGTGTAGTTTCCTTTTTTAAGACAACTTTTGTTTTGGCTATTAGCTGGTTTGTGTTTTCCCTCCAAAACATGTATAATTTAAAGAAAATATGAAGAGCTAGACCTACTATTCACCAGAATTGCTAGCTGACTGGTACCTGTCACGAAATCAAAACATTAACAGATGGGGCAGTATGGCCTGCGTAAGTTTTGTAGCTTATGTTTTCCATGAGTATTTATTTTTATGCCCACTTAAGGCCCACTCAAAAACTGCCTATACAGCCCTTACCACTGGCTTTGTGAATATATCAACACTATTAGTGATGCTGTGGGAAAGCCACAAGTGACAGAGTATCAGGAGTCTCACTAGAGACATGAAAAGCGTTGTGCAACTTTTTGTATGCCTTTTGTGACAGTAAATCAAGAAAATATGTTGGTGGCATTATAAATATCCAAGAACTATACTTGCACAACTTAAGAGTTCTGGTACATACCACAAAGTTCTGACAGTAAGAAGTGCAACATGCTTTTGATGTTCAGTAATCAAGCCAAACAGAGAGAAGAGTAATTAAATCTCCACACTTTGACCAACAATATTAGACCACAGTGATGGCTGGAGACAGGAGAACTCTCACCCTCTCTTTTGCTCACTTTCACCACCTGTGAAAATCAACCATACTGCTCTAAAACTGCATCAACAAATGGGACAGTCAGCAAGGAAAAGGACATTCAGCTTGGGTCAAGTTCACAAGTGGTTTTCAAGTACAGGAATAATCCTTAACTGGGAAGCATCAAGTCAGCCAAGGCCCATTGAGATTGCCATTGAGATTTTTTTAATTTTTTTTTCCATTTTCACAAACCACCATCATGGGTATCAACTTGAGAAAACAAAGGCATAGACATAAGTTGCAAAATAACAGCAACAAGCTCTAAGCAGGTCTAGCAAAGCAGGATGTGCCCTAGCCTCAGAAATAAAAAGATGGAAGCAAACAAAAGTTCAGCTTTCATCTGAGAAGATTTTCAAACTATGAAAATAGGCTGCAGAGACCTGAGGATGCAATGCACTAGATTCTTACAGAGAGATCTACCACTGAATGCATGCTAAAGGCAACTAACCAGTTGTGAAGTTTAGTGAAGGCTAACTTTTGATAATGATGTGGATAATAATTCTGCAGACACTTCACAAGCACCTGAAGCATTAACACCACCCATTTACTTGTTGGCAAAGTTAAAAAAAAAAAAAAAAAAAAAAAAAAAAGGTTTAAAAAAAAAAACATAAGAAAACTGAAAGAAGATGAGTTTATACTAATTCAAGATGAAATAGGTAATCAAAGGAGCTCAATGAGACAAGTGAAGCTTTCCATTACTG